AAATATTTCATAATCTCTTTTCTCCTCCTGAATCTCTATTCACTCATAACTCTAAATTACTGATATTATTTCAATGTAAATAGGATGTGGTATTTAGGGTCTAAACGCCCTAAGGGTCCTGTTGGTGAGCTACTAATTCCCTTTGATACTCAATTTCTTAGAATTTATTGTTCATTGTTAGTCTTTAAAAAAAAGTTGGACTATTCACGCTTTTTGAACTCTTCTAGGCGACCAAACTCTTATTATCAGGTCAGGTTATAATTTTTGAGCTGCTTTCTCTATATGATTAATATAAGGACAAGCCACTTTTAAATTTGTCTCCATACATATGGTTACACTACAATAGAAAGAGAATAAAAATATAAGATTGAGATATGTAGACTTTATGTATTTCTAAAAGATACTAACATTTAAATTTGAATTATGTTTAATAATATAATTATGTATTTTATGTATATTATCAAAATTTTAATATCACTTAATGAAAGACAAATTAATACATTTTACAAATTATGATTTTTAATTTACAATAGATTAAAAAAAACTATTGACTGATTTATTTATTTAATAAAAATATCATATTCTCTCTAATCTTCTACAAATTTTCTTTTCCAAAAAATCAGATAATTTTTCTATAAAAGTTGTAGTATTATCTATATTTTATATATTATATTATATAAAAATAACAAAACTAAACTAAAAATAATCTTTAATAAACTCAATGTTATCATAATTATATAATATAACTTACTAAATATATATAATTAACAATATGGAACACGATAATTAAATTTTAAAAAAAGATACCCACACTCTTTTTAATAATTTGAAAAAAAATATCCGAATAGAAAACAAAAAAAAAAATAAAAAGATCTATCTATTTATCTATCTATATACCAGCAAAAGGGAGTTTTAACGCCAAGGCTTATGGGAGCTTCATATCAATTGAATTTTTTAAATTTCTTATTTGAATTAAAAAAAATTCTACATAGCTTTCTTTAATTTGATTTGGTCAAATCGATAGGTTAAAATCCTTCTGACAAATAATTATGATTTGTTACTGTCCTTCATCAACTTCCTCTACACTATGTTAGTGATAAGAAAAATCTTAAAAACATAATTTTTATATTAAAATCTAAATAATTATAATATATAATTATCGTGGCTGCACGGGTGATAGACTGTATTATAAATAGATAAGGGGCCTCTTTAAGTTAAGAAAGAGGTTGTATTTTTTTTATCATAATGAAACCGGCGACGCATGATAGCCCTATTCTGGGGTGACCGTAAATCTTGTATTTTGTGTGTGTGATTTATTTGATTCGTTTTTTTTTTTCTTATTTGTTTTTGTGCTTGCGATGTTTGTAAGAGGGCAATTCCTAACATTCTTATCCCCTGAATTTGGTTAATTCAGTGATTAATATGCTCGAATAACTTTTGTTATCAAGTTTAAAAAAAAAAATACTATATGTATTAGAAACACAAAATGTGCGTAGAAAATACAATTAATGGTTAGAATTAAGCCCAATTATGGTAGAGTTCACATTCAAAATAAATTTAAGCTATTCAATACATTTTTTGTGATTCATTATGCGTTCATATTTTGTGTTTTTAGTATTAATATTTTATTTACAATAACGCTAGAAATATTAATTAGTGTACCAACTAATATAGTAACTAAGATACAAAACATTCTTGTAGGTTCCATCACTTAACATGAGTCTCATGTAATAAAGTGTATATAGTTGATATACTAATTAGTACATTAGTCGTTGTATCTAATTAATACACTAGTTAGTTCATCTCATGTTTGAATATTGTATTAGAATTTGTAGACGGATTAGATTATCTAATTAGTACACTAGTTACTTCATCTCCTTGTTTCTAATTATTAAAAAAAATGAGGAAAAAAAAAAAAAGAAAGGAAGAAAAGAGAGTAATGATATATGTAAATCTATTTTTATCCTACTTTTTCAAGCCACGCATAAAATATTACAGCGCTGCTTGAGGGCCCTAAATTTCGGGGCTCGAATGCCCCGAAATTCCACTTTTGGTAAAAAAAAAAAAAAAAAAAGGAAAAAAGAAAGAAAAAAAGAAAACAGTTTCCAAAAATGGAAATTAGGGGCATTAGGGGCAAATTTTTTAGGGCCACCAATCATTTTCCAAAATATTAATAGGTTCCACATTAATTAATATACATTAGACTTATTCATTTATGCCTTGAGGGCAGAAAATTCACTAAAAAATATGATTATATATGCACATACAAATCTAGAAAGAAAGAAAAAAAAATTCCAAAAATATCCAAAATTTCAAATCTACGGTCAATTCAAGAAGTGGGTCCACAATAACAATTTCAAATGTACAACCATTGATATACAATTGTTGATAAATTTATGGGGAATTTTCTCATCCCATAAACTTTCTGTTATATGTAGCATTATAAAAAAATAATGGGCAAATTACATAATGGTCCATCAAGTTTAGCATTGGTATCAATTTGGTTCATATTATTTTAATTATAATACATTTAACTTTAAATTTTATAATTTGGTTCAATAAAAAACAATTGATAACAAAAGTTAGAATTTTGAACAAAAAAATGATCATGTGCAAGTCACATGTGCAACTATCACATTTTCAAAGTATCGATTTTGCCGGCTAACGATGATCATGTGATTTGCACATGATCATTTTCTGTCCAAAATACTATCTTTTGTTATTTATTGAAACAAATTGTAAAATTTAAACTTAAATGCGTCACAATTAAAATGATAGGAACCAAATTGACAAAAATTCTAAACTTGAGGACCAGTAGTGTAATTTGTCCAAAAATAAAATAATAAAATGAGCAGGCAGTTTTGAGAGTTGAAATGTATGCAAAAGCAGCACACTTGTAATATAAAGAGAGCTAAACATTAGACACAGTCCAAAGTCAAGATTTTGTTTTGGTACCCTCATTAAATGGCAAAATGTTAAATATCTGTCTCCTGAAAAAAATTTATTAAACCTTTCTGGTTTCTGAGTTGGGTAGAAGTTTCAAGTTGTTATTATAAATAAGCTTTTTCTAATTCTCTGTTTTTAAAGCTTTTCTGCTACTACTTGACTGGTTTTAATGGAGAACACCACCCAAGAAGGAGAAGAAAATCAAGAAGGTCTCAATGATAGGAAAGACTTGAACAGATTGATCAAAGACGCAAATGATCATGAACAGTTCTTGCAAATGCTCATGGACAGTGTTAATGTACACCTAAACCTACTCCACTAAACCTAACCCAGTACACCACTCTACCTCCACTTCACCTACTCCACTACACACTCCACTTCACCTACTCCACCACTCCACCTCCACTTCACATCTCCATCTCCTATATAATGTACATACAATACATCAAAACTATAACAATCAATAATACATACATAATTGTTTCTCTCTTTTTCCCTATACATTTATTCTAACATGGTATCAGAGCTATAAGATTTAGGCCTGTATTTTCTTTCTCACCGGCGGGCAGCCGGCCGGCAACTTTGCCTTCGCTGCCCGCTGGAATTTTCTACACATAGCTTCGAGTTCTTTGCCATCAACGGCGACAACATTTCTCCCACTAAAACAGCCCTGTTTCAGTTTTCATTTTCCTCTTCCTTTCCCCCCACATGAGGGAAGAACGGAGATTTGTTACTTACTCCTCCTCCTCCTACTACTACTACTTACTACTACAACCCTTTGAGCGATGGAGAGTCCCTATTATGCACCGCCTCACCTGGACGCTGCTGCATCATTGTCCTCTTCTTCTTGGGACAAGCTCCGATCTCTCCGTCAATCCTCCCACGCTCATCCAGATCCAGATGTCGAAGCTCATCATCATCCCTCAACAGCATAGACTTCGTAGCTTGCAAACCTCTTCTTTCTCTGCAACTCTGGATCATTCAAACTCCAACTTTTTGATGACCCAACACTAGTGATTTTCTTGATTTTCTTGATCTTCAATTCTTTGCCCATCTGGGTTGGTTGTGCTTGTTCAGATGATGATGTGGCATAAGAAGTACTGTAACTTCTCAGATCATGCATGCTAGTAGGATGACCTGGCCTAGTAGGCCTACCTCCATTGAAGCTACTCTCTGTCTGCATCCTTCCATCCCTACATGGTTTGGATCTGAAGTTCTCCATAGCAAGCACAGAAGAAGAAGAAGAAGAAGAAGAAGGGGAGAGAGAGAGAGAGAGAGAGAGAGAGAGAGAGAGTCCGTTGGATATGGATTTGCTTTTAAAAACAATGTGGGTATGGTTATTAAAGTTTGATATGAATTGGGAACAGCTCAAGATGGAGGTGGCTTTATTCCTTTCACTTACTGTCGTTGTTGTTGTTGTTTTTTTTTTTTTTAAAATATACCGACATTTTATTTTTTTTATCATTTTTATTATTACATTTTCAATTGATTTAATTTTGATTCTTAATTTTAAATTTTATATCAATTTGATCTAATGAATAACACTATTAATATTTTTAACAAAAAATTATCATTGAATTGGCTAAGGGATTAATTTATTGAATTAAATAAATTTATAATTTTACTTCTAAAAAATGAA